GTTTTATAAGGATGCTAACATTGTGATAGTTCCCAAGAGTATAATCGGCTTTCGTCCGAAACGATCAGCAATAACTCCCCATAAGAGTGAGGTCAGTGCTCTGCCAAGCATGAATGAGCCCCCTTACAAGCAAAAAGAGATTATTAGTTAGAACAAAACGGTAAAGAGATATGGAGATTAAATAGAAGAATAACAAGTCACTGAGGCAACTCACCCACAAATCCAGCATAAAACCCAATGTCTTTCTCCGTCTTTGCAATACCAAAATCTTCTATCTATGAAAACAAAGGAGTATGTGACAAAGGAATGGTATGGTATGCGACATGGTATACATCTTCATCAGTTTAAAACCTAAACATGTCTCTCAATTTACACACAAAAAAAATCATAAAAAATGACTAGGATCCATAACATGGTATAGCTCTCAAACTCTCTAACACAGTATACTCACCATATAATAGAGGAAGGGGTAAAGCGAAGAAATCGGCAGAGCTGCATGCAAACACATAAACATAAATGAAAACCCATGAGACAAATTGCATAATGAATCGTTACTTGCAATACAAGAAAGCTTTTTAGAGAATCAAAAAGGGTTACGAAGGTGTTTACAAGTGGCGAGGACGACGATCCAAATGATGGAAAGCTCAAGGTAAGGGTAACCTTGCCGGATCTGTTTCATTTGCTCCACTTTGCATCCCGGACAACCGTCGTGATACTTCTGCTTCTCCAACAACGCTTCCTCGTACTCCTCCGCCATTTTCAGATTCAACTCCGACACAGGAAAATCACATAGTCAACGTAAAAGATATAGCCTTATTTTGTTTTTACTCCGGAGGAAGTTAGCTAGTCGTGGCTTTATTGTATTTATTTCTCTGACAAGAAGTGATAATGGAATTATGTACGTGGACTAGTCTGCATTTGAATAAGTTAGCTTACATTCTAAAATAAGTTAGAGAGTCTCGTTCAACTTGATTATCTTACATGCATGTGGACTAGTCTGTACTTGAATGAATTAATTATGATTTCTGAGACTATATATAGCCTTATTAATTATGATGAAATGCTGAAAGGATCCACTTGCAAGCGCATGCATCAAAAGAGATCTTGGGTATATAATATTAATTTCTTATGGATCAAAAATTGGTCCATCGATAC